CATTTCTACATACCTTTCGTTTGCGACTATTTTTTTTGGTGTCTTTCACGCAAGTGGACTGTAAGGAATGGTACAGTGGTAAGAGATTGCAGCGAACTTTGGAGGCGGCGAATTCGAAACTCGAATAATTCGAATCAACTGATTTCCATGACTAAGCAATTGATATCACGTTGTTTTGGATCCTAATGAAGTTATTTCTGGATTGGTAAGAGGTAAGATCATGCTGTTTCATGTGAGGTCCTCTTAGACGAATATTCACAATAATGGGCACCGAATGCTAACTCAGAAAATTGAATCTCACTACTTTTGTTACCAGTGATTGACCAACAGTAGGTGACGTGTAATTCTTTGATTGCTATGAATGAGAGCTTTTAGTCGTTGCGGTTTCATTTTGTAAAGGTGACGACCGGTTAACGATCCAAATGGTATTTCTATCAGTATGAAAAACATTTCAGGTTAAGATTTTCCTGAATGAAGTGAAAGTTTGCTTCTGGTATTAGTATTTTTGTTCATTTTTCTGACACCACGTTATGAGTAAGTGGTTCGTATTGATTATGCTGAGAATCCTCCTATTCAATTAGTCTTCGTTATTTCATCTCTTTTTTTAATAAGCAGTGTTCCTAGAATTATGCTCGCTTCATCTATGCAGTCTCTTTCAGTCCATTTGATTTAGGCAAAAGATTTTTTTATGTATATATTCAGATGCGCAGGCCTTTCGCTTTATGTAACATGTAAATTGTTTATAACTGTTTTTATCTGTAGCTCAGTTTTGATGTCTAAATTTACTCGATCTTTATAAAATCTACTGGTTAGTGTTACAGTAAAAATGTTCGTCAAAGTGCGGTTTATGCAGCATCGCCGACAAAGGGCTATGTATGTCTTGACACTTAATCTCAGATTTGCGAAGTAAAACTTGCTGTTGTTTCTAGTCAAATCAAGTTTATTAACTTGTACATCGATTGTTGCAATTAGCAAATGCGCGTACGTTACTCTAGAGTTAAATAGGCCAATTGAATGTATACGCACAGAAAGTTAATGGAAAGGCAGAATATTATGTACAATTAATTGCCCTTGTAATTCTTGCTGTCTCAGAATCTTTGTCAGGAAAAGTAGAATGGATCATCGGTAGAGTTCCGGCATTCTATGACCCAGGCGACAGACTGCTGGAACTGTTATTGTCGCATTGCGGCCAGCAATTTCTTTAGCAGTAATTCTGCTTCTTCTAGCTACTAGCA